GCGGGACACAAAGGCGTTCAGAACATCTGCGAACAATTAGAGGCGAACAGAGCGAGCAGCACTTATACTGCCCATTACACTCGGATAAGTCACCGGCTCGGCTCTTCGTGATGTAATGCGGCACAGCTTGGATATGCAATCTCAAAGTTGCACTGGGACAGAGACTCTCACATAAACTTCAAACATGGAGCACACGGGCCGTAAATGTGATCCAGAGTGGAACCACATTTATCTGCAGCCCTGAGCTCATTCCTCTGGATGAAATGTTCCTCATGTTCTCCACCAAGTATTGTTCCAAATGTGACACGTTTGTTCTTAAATCCTCCCTAGCCTGCGAGCTCATGTTTAAATTACTTCTGTTACATGCATCAAGTCCACTGCGCCGATCAAACTGCCAGATTTTTGCTAGATTTATCGATAACTCGTCTGTAACCTGTCAGATTATAGTGAAAAATGTTCCTCCCAGGTTCTCAAGGTCAAATGTCTTCTTTCATCAGTCCAAAACCTAAAGATATTAAAGGGCCCATGTCATGCTTTTCCAGTTATTACCCGTCCCCTTGTGTGTTATGAAGGTTTGTATGCATGTAAACGGTCTGCAGAGTCACAAACCCTCAAAGTACACCCTGTAGCGAGTAAAACTCTAACACAGAAAATACCTGTCTATGCTGCCCCAAAACGCCTCGTTGGAGATTTCTCATTTTCCATTGTTTGCTTCTTGGGTTCTGTGACGTGTGAAAACCCAAATCAACAACAAATGACCGGATTGGCCCAAATGGACCAATCCGCGGAGCACCTGACACACCAGGATCCCTTGGCTAACTAACAGGGAGTCCCCATTGACTTGCATAGAGCTCCCTGAACGCTGGTAATAGACGAGTTGGGATCGTGGAGAAATGCTCTCCGCAGACCCATTCTCACAGCGTTATAAACCTTTTTCTTACTCAATATCAAGCCACACTTATTGTTTTTACTTCGGCTGTGAGTGTGTTTGTGTGCTCAGGATGAGTTTCGCTGGTTCTCGCTGTATCGCCGACCCGGAAATCTGTCCGCTCCTCGCCAGCAGCGGCGAGCCTCGCAACGTCCCGACCAATCAGAGCACACTGGGCTCACAGGGGGGGGGGGGGGGGGGTGCAGGAGCTCCAACAAGCCGTTTAGGACAGAGAGTGAATACACATACTATACAGAGATGCTGAGAAACCAATGTGAGTTTGGAAAATTGAACAATATAAATCTATTCTAGTAGACCTCAACAATGGAAATATGATCAGTAGAAATGGCCATGACATGGGACCTTTAAAGATGGATCTCTTATCAAAAATGTTTGGTGCTCATTTTACGAAAGACTAATCCATTTGTCAACTCATCATGGCAGCTCTTAACATTCTTAAAAATGTTACCAAACTCTGCATTTCGGTCCTTGTGGTCCTTATTGTCCCCCCCCCCCCCCCGATTTTTTTTGTTTTAAACTGTCCATCACAAGTCCAACAATGTTACAGGAGTACAAAGATCAATCAATGGAGTCTTCTTTAAAAACACGTTTGGAAATGACCGTTTATAAGATCAAACTTTAATCTGAAAGACCTCAAACACGCTTAAAAGACAGTCAGATCCCCTTGTCTCAAACAGTTCGTAGTTTGAATCATCACTGTTTCGAAGGCTCTTTGTGCCACAGAGTCTTAAGGGTTTTCTAACATGATATATTTATCTGCAAAAGCCAAAAAACTGCAACATTACATCAAAAGACAATTTGGAAAAAGGAAAGAGGGGCACGTCATTCCTGCAAACACTAAAAGATTCATCGAGCATTTCATGGGAGATTTTCAGGGAAACTTAAATATTTTACAGCCTGAACGCAGGCCATCTCTGTGAAAGTCCAAAAAGGGTTCCAACAATCCTTGCATCCTCATTTTTACTGGGCTAAAGAGACAATGAAAACAGCCTGAGCGCAAATGTGGCCCTAACCCAACAGACACAGGTCATTAAGCGTGGATGTTTTCCCTTTCAAAAAGGACTCAGTAATAGCAGAGCAGCATTGTCTGACAGGTGTTACATCTTGTTGGCCTCACAACTTATTAAGATTACGGGCATTACATGTTTTATGGCCAATAAAAACCCTCCACAAACCAGAAACAATTCACTCCCCGTGACTAGGATGCCATTGAGAAAATGTGGAGGGTTTCACATTTACTGAAAAGCAGCATTGTTCAAGTTTGATCCAATAACACGTTATTTACTGCCAATAACGCTCCAGAAATGTTTCTCTCCTGGCCAACACGGGCAGCATTCCAGTGCCTTACTTTGGAGGAGAACCCCTATAAATCCAAAATAATTAGTCAATTATTTTTCAAACAAAAATGCCAAACATTCTTTGTTTTGAGGATTGGCTGCTTTTCTCTGGTTTACATGATCATTAAGTTTCTTCAGACAAAACAAGCAACTTGAAGAAGTTCAAGGCTTACAGAAACTGTGAGTTTTACAGTTTTCTAACCTTTTGTCGTTCAAATGATTCAACGACAGATCAATAATGACAATAGTGATTACTCTGTATTTGTTTGGAGTTACTAACAATAAACTCCAACTGTTTTAAATAACATTTTTTATTTGTGCATGAAAAAACCCTGAGTGGAATCGCAAAGTAACAATTCTATGAAAACAAAGTTATTCAAATAAACAGGACTTACTTAAAGCATGTGACCTGAACTTCCTTAAAAATGGCAGCTTACGTAAACGTCAGCCAACCAATGAGCAGTCTGTAACGTTTCCTTAAATTAGTACACGAAACAAACGTGAGTATCAAACTTTTATACACATTTTCATAATGTGCAATGTGACCAGCCGGCGCTAATTTAATGATGTTGTTTTACGGAACAAAAGTGAGTGGACACATTTTCTTTTGCCTTATATAGCACTTTTCAACACAAGGCAATTCAAAGTGCTTTACAAAAAGTAAAGCACTTTGAATTGCCTTGTGTTGAAAAGTGCTATATAAATAAACTTGCCTTGCCTTGCCTTGCCTTATTTGCTGAAAATGTGGTTCAAACTTTACCCTACATTTTTAGGTTTGTCAGTCTTGTTGCTGTCTTCACGTTTTTTTGCACCTGGATACTATTTAAACTAACAGGTGCTGATCACTAGATTTCTGAGGCTGTTATTGTGTTGTTATTGTTCCAAAGTTATTTTAGGGTCACTTTACCAACAACATTTTAACCAATCCAATGCCTCTTTCTATGTTTTGTGTGAAATTGTGACATACCCAGTGAAATATCTTACTGTGTGAAATAATGTCTGACAACATACGCTGCTTTATATGGACAAGTCTTATCATGCAGATAACCTGCAGACATGTTGTATGATAAGAATACTATTGTGTTTTGCTTTCATTTTTTACAAAAAGGTTGAATTTCACAAGATATCTATATTCTGCCACATTGCAAAGAACTTTCCTTTCACTAACTGTTTCTAACTTATCAAGTGTGTTTTCAGTTTGTGTGAAGAAAGTAAATTATGAGATCAGCTTTGAAAGTAGTTAACATGCCATTAAACCAAACACATCTTTCCCCCTTTGGAAACAACCTTCTCTATCAAACTCTGCACAAACATCATTCTGCACAGAAATGCATATATAAGCACATTTTCAGTGGAAATCAGCTAATAGAAATGAACATCCCTGAAGACTAGTGAGGAGCTAAACTATGATGAATGTGCTTTATCCTCTTTAAAAATTAACTTCCTTTAGTAAAGTTTAGTATGAACCAGAGGTTTCTCCTCCTCTACACCCTGCTGCAGACACATTCCCCTTAATTCATTCATTCTTTGGGCTGATTTAAGCCTGTTTCTCTGTCTCCAGTCACACAGCCAGGATGGTTGACACAAGGGTTTTTATTTCCACCATAAAATGCTTTTGCATCCTTGTGAGAAATATACAAAATGTACCGTTAGGAGTCAGATGTCAGTCGCGTTTTCCATGTTCCCCTTTCTGGTTTCTACACCTTAAAACGAGGCGAGAACTGCGACATGGATGTATTTAAGCTAGCATGTTCATGCAGTTAAACAAAAACGCAGAAATATGTCATTTTTGTGGATTGGGACAGGCCCTTCCATAAAAAAACCTGCACCGAAAAGCGTCCCCTCCGACCGGGTAATGCTGTTACGCCCTTGCGTCTCTCCCAAAAACGCTGTAAAACACCGGGGCGTTTCACGGTTTCACGTTAAATAAAACAAACCCACACATTTAGCTTCATTTCCGCTCAGCCCTTCACTTCGCCGGTGCTGTTAAATCAATGAAAAGCCAAAAGCCTCTGTCGGTATTCCGGCAAACCTCTCGACCAGGCGAACATGAAAATGAATCGACATTTTTCTTGTTTGAAAAACTCACCTCATTTGGATGGAAACTGCCGAAGACGACGCTGTTCCTCCATTGTTAACTAAATACTTACATATACTAGTTATTTCATTTAAAAAATATATATCTTGTGCTCATTGTGGCAGCGTCCTCCCCCTGCAGCCGCTTTCTTCTCCTGCCTCGGCTTCAGTGTTTTGGGTTGAGGAAAAGTGATGTCATTGCATGAAATTGCATTACCCGCCCCATTTTTTCAGAGGCTGTCCCCATGCTGCCAAACATAACTTTAACATTATACTTTAAAGAAGCGGCTGGGTTTCTAGTGCCTTAAAGTGTTCTGTGCTTGCTTTAAATAGGCCTACTATCTGGAGATCATTAGGTTCAACAAATGCACCATAAACGTTTTGTGAAAAGAATAACCATTTATTTCAACAGACTGATGGGTACAATTTAAAGGCAATTTAAGTTATTTTGATAGTGTTTTTTATATTTACATTGTTTAAGACGGTTTTATTATGCATTACAGTTTGTTTATTTTTTGTATACTGATTTGGTCCAATTGTATGACATTATAACCCAGACTAAATGCAACCAAACAGAAGAAAAATCAATTAATTTCTAATAACAATATATTGAAAACAGGCTGTAATTGTTCTCTAACCTCATCATCAGCGTTTGTGGAAGTGAAATTGTTCTTTAAAGAGACGCTGCATCAGATGGAGCTTCGGCTGCAGTACATTGAAGTGAATAATCTGCAGTGTCTTCCTCTTCTTCCCCTCCAACCTCTGACACCACCTAGGTGGAAGAACAGGAAGTTAGGACTGTGGTTTTGACTGTAATTTTCAACCAAAGAATGCTTTGATTATTGTGTTCATGTCATAGTTTAAGTTCCTACATATTTGTGTCAACATACAGCTGTGCAAAGATGTGGAGACATTGACGTGCTTCTGTGGGTTGTTTTGCAAAGTGTTGTTTCAAGTCTTGTTTGTTCAGGCAAAATGCACTTTTTGATGTCTTATACATAAATATGTGTACCCGGTGCATGGACGCAGGAAGGGGGGGTGCTGAGGGGGCTGCAGCACCCCCATCTGCGGCGTACCTACAGTGTAAACGCGTCACAGTTTCTCTGCTGCGAGGCTCCACTAGCATGATAGGTGCACTTTAAAGCAGAAGATGGTTGAGAGAAACAGTGAAATCTTTTGTGAAATTAGTTGTCATCTGGAGTTGATTCCACTAGTGGCCAATATGAAGTTATTCAAGACTAAAGGTGCATTTCCATCCTCTTGTTCCTATGTGCATTTTCAGATTGCACGTATACAAACACCTGGAAAATGTGCACTGTGTTCCTAAACGGCAGATTAAAAGCCTTAGACATTTAAAATGGGAGAAAATGTGCTAATATTCAGTAGGCTGTGCTAAAAAATATAACCATTTTAACCTATATTGAAAAAAGGAACTGTAATGTAGTCTTTGCCAACTTTATATGATAGAGCTCCCTATTTAATTTATAACCTCGTCTGATTTTCTTAACAATAGTTATTAACGTGTCAAACACATGTTTAAGTATTTGGAAATCAAATGAAACAAAAGAGCCTCAGTCTGACTTTAACAGCAGCTACCTTAAACCTCTAAGCATTATTATATTATAGTTCCCTCTTTCACCAGGTAATGAACAGAAGCTATATTAAATAATATGCTGTAAAACAAGAGCCAAGTGTGATATTAAAGTGCACCTATCATGCTATTTTAGGCAATAGCATAGGTCTCAGATATATACAAATATATAAAAACATGTCTTTGAAGTGTTTTTCTCAAAATACCAAACAGATCACCCATTCTAGCCTCATATCCCTCTATTTCACTTCCTGTTTCAAAAGCGCTGATTCTGGGTATAAAGCTTTAAAAAGAAAAGAGGAGGGGGCTGAGCTCATGCGGGACCCGGCAGCTACTGTCTAAACTAAATACTGCGGTGATGAAACGCCATATCATGGATTATCAAGGATTATTTCTGAAACAGTATGGAGCTCAAAGGCTTTCTCTCTTGCCGGTTATACAACAAGGTGAGTTCCTTTTTACTTCCTGCTTCTTCACACACATGGGGTGTTTCTCAATCGCGAGCAAAGCTGCTCCAGAGCCACTATTTCAAGCATACTACGTCACCGAGTGCCGCCAAAGTACTGTTCCAATGTCCAGCACACTTGGAAATCTACCGAGCCCGGCGTACTTCGTTTGGAGAAATTTCGAGGCTGCACATGTGTAGACTCCAGTCTTAAAATCCCCACAATGCTTTGCGCACGGACCAATTTCCCCAAATCTGTGGCAGACAATGTAAGCGGGGGCTCTCATATGACACACACCTGCACACTTGCTAGCCTGTTCCACTCTTTGTTTTCCAAATGCCAGGAAGTATTCTTGCCTCGCTTCTGAAGCAAGACGCTTTGAAGACATGTGCTACCAAGGAAGCGTACTCGCGATTGAGAAACACCCGTGCTCTCCAGTACAGGTTAGCTCTGAGTGTTAGCGATGCTAATGTAAACACCGACGGGCATTGTTTCCGATAGCAACGTTTCTGATAGTGCTGTGGGTCCACATTTCCGATATTACGTCATATCGGACGCAAATCTGGATCAGCTCCGTTATACCCAGGTTTTAGAGATTTGGGTACGGAGGAAAAGAGAGAGGGTTTTATTTTCTGACGCTGCGTGAGTTCCCCGACACACCGGGGACACATAGTTATGTATAAGACATAAAAAAGTGCATTTTGCATGATAGGTCCCCTTTAAACATTAGAAGAGCGTTTGCTTGCAGCAACCATTCCTCCTCTTCCTACTGGCCGATGAAGAGATTCCTTCCTGCTCCTAATGCATGATATGGATATAAAATGTCACAGTACTGATTCTGTGAAAACATTTACAAAAATGTTTTGATGATAATGTGCGAGTTTGCATCTTTACATTGACATTAACACAAAGATGGATTTGGGTTCCTAATATAATTAGTTTGTAAGAAATCAACTTAATTGATGCAGATTTCTAAAGCGTTGTTTACTCAGATAAATCTAAGATTGTGTTCTCCATCACCAACAATACAAGCAGTTAGGAAATAAACTCTGGAGTATGATCAGGAGGAATCATTGTAATAAATTAAACCGTTTGAATGTAAATATTGAGATGAAAGCATTTTGTTTTGCTTCCCCACTCCTCCAATTATATCGCAGCACCATGATTCACAAACTGACACGCCTTAAAATTGATCTTGTATTGACAGATTGTGGTCAACATTTTATTAGACCCACACAATTATACAGATTGTTGTCATCTCAGTGTATGGGTGCCATCTTTAAAAGAGTTTTGTGATATTCAAGATGCCCCTGATCGAGAGTTAACCTGCTCATGCATGATGGCAGCCATGTCTCTCTCTGAGAGCTCGTGTCCCGAGGCGTCCAGGTCCGCCTGGTCCAGGTCTCCTCCCATCAGGATGTCCATGGGGGCCTCAGCGATGGCTCTGATGGTGTGGTCCTCCAGGGCCAGGGCTGTGTCAAACTGTAGGGGGGAGGGCGGACCCTGCATCCCGTCCCCTTCCACATCCAGGTCCTGTGTAACAGGAGGAAATCTAAATCTCAACGCAAAACTTGTGGGGGCCATTTTAAATGGTATGTTTGTTTCCTTTTACACCTCATACCACCAGGCAGTGTTATTTATGTAAATGCAGATTTGGTTAGGAAATCAGCTTCAGGTGCAACTGCTGCCAGGAAGCCACATTTAGAGTTAAGCTTTACATAGAACATTGCACAATACTAACAGCCGACGGTGAGCTGTGTAGTCAATCTGAACTTTTGATCATCAGCTTTTTTGCATTCACAAGATCACATCTGAATCTCTCAGTAGCATTTCCCCAAGGGCTTGTTTAGAGTTACAAATACTCACTACAGCTACACCGTCTTCTTAAGACGCCCGCCATAATATTATGTGGGTGCTTTCACGTCTGTAGTTTGGTGCATTTTCCAGAGGAAGCAGAAAATAAAAGGGATTACAAAGTATGCCTTTTATGGTTCTGGAGCTCACCCACAGACCCCAAGAGACCGACTTCACTACTGATAATGGGCATACATCTCAATCTTGTAATTCACAATCATTGGAAAGAAACAACGATATTAATCCCATTTCAAATGTCAATAATATATATCGACCATCACAAAGCGATCTGAGATCCTCTTTTTCCAATAGTGGCCTGGGGCTGGTTTCTTCTTCCAAATGCAAATAAGGAACAAAATGTCAGCATTTACTTTTTTTTTATATCAGCTTTAAACGCATGATCAGGGGAAAAACTAACCCTGGAATTAATCTTAATTCCTCAAAGTAATGTTATATCATTTTAACTGCACCTAAAGAAGCTACAGTGGTTGTGAAAGCACCCCAAAACTGCAGGAATCATTTCCATTGATAAGTTTGGAACATGATATTCTTAATAAAATGAATATGTGCTATAGGACAGTGGTAGGAGATCATCACTTCTACGTACATCACTGAACTCTAGGGGCATGCTTTCTGTGGGCTGAAGCTCTGCTGCACTCAGGTACATGTCTCTGCTTGCGGTGGTGATGGGCTCCTGTGGGGGGGGCTCCTGCTCGGGCTGGAACATGGGGGGCGGCAGGGTGAGGTGCAGTGGGCAGCGGGGGTCCTCAGACTGTCCCATGTGCACTGTGCGTCCACACGGGACATCTTTCAGGCCCGGACACATCTGGAAGAGCACCTGGTTGCTGTCCTGGAAGATGTCTGAGCGGCGGGGGTTAGGGACAAATCATGAAGACAGAAAAATAGTGACAACAAGAGTCAAACGGATCAAGAAGTTGCCCCCCAACTTAAAACTAAAACCATAAGAGTGTGACTTTTTCCTATACAAGAATAATCCTGTAATCATTTCTCAACATACGGGTTATGGTAAATTACGAAAGGCTGAACTGTACTACCGATAGGCCGACACCACGAGTTGGTCATTATGTCTGAGCTTTGCAGGGTTTGTACAGCTCAGTGCAGCTCTGGTAGCAGCAGACAGTTTAATGAAAGTACTTGCAATAATATTTGTTGTTGTCGTCAGCAGATAAAGAAAAGTACACGATTTAAAGCATGTTAAATAAAAATATATAAAAAGCATTAAACTACCCTTAATGATTTGGGGTTAAGATTAAGGGATTTTGTTCCTTCCAACTGAAATGATTAGCCCCTTTGTTTCTCTGGGAGAAATCAACAGACCACAGGAAGGAGTTCATGTTGGCGCCCTTTGAAACCTGCAGCTACTGCAAGCAGCACGTCTTGATCGGGGCCGAGGTGAAGAACACTCGGGAACTTTTATAAAGAGACAACTCATGTGCTGAAAACATCTTTGAGGATACGTGAGACGCAGTGCCGGGTCATGGGCAGGCAGGGGTTGGTACATCGGGATCCCTCCACAAAGGAGGTGCACTTCTCATGCACTGTTCTCGAATGTGTCTACAGAGGAAAGAAGTGTTAGATAACATCCAAACAGAACCATACTAGCTATAATTATACTTTTTAACATTCCTGGATGCCACAAAATGGAGATAAAAATCCACTCTGCTGCACACAAATATGTTGAGCAAAAATCTCAAACAAACAGCCCTGAGAGCCAACATTGACATTTTAAAAACGAGGCATGTTCTCTTTGTAGGAAAAAATAACTTCACACCAAGTCAAACATTAGAAACAACGTCTTAAACTCAACATCCTGCATGTGTTGGCTCTGTGCCGCAGTGCACTGGATTGTAGGACATGAAACAGGAACCAGGTAACCAAATGACCCACAAAGAGAAACAGAACATCCATTCTACTGGCATCGAGACATGCAGACTTCAGAAATGTACGGCTCAGTGGAAAATAAAAGCATTTTCTGTAGCATTCACTAAAGTCCTTCCCCATGTTGTGAGAAGGGTACAAAATAAATGTACAGTGACTACATTTCCTGACCTATCAGAAATAACAATGTCGTAGTTTTTTATTGAATAAATCTGCGAGTAATATTGCATTTTTTCTACTATTGTGAAAGCCTGGCACCGTAATGTACACGGTGTTTGACATCTTGGATTTTGCACTGCCAGTGAAACAGACCTTTCCTAAAGTTACGCTGTGGAGCCTAAACTCAGGGTAAAACTAAAGCACTTTGTTACTGTGTGGCCTGTGTGTTCAAAAAGAGTTGCAGGCGTTATTTTACAGTTGAGTCTGAACAGCTCTGGAAAGACAAACTGCTCTTGGGTTTAAAACCTCAAAAACATTTCCCCTCAACGTGCACAGTGCGATGGCCACATATGTTGCAGACATGGGAATCTTGAACCAAATCTCATGGCTGGATATCACCAGAGTTTGGGAGGTATGTTTGTGGTTTGGTAAACCGACCCTTTAACATTGGGTTTAGGTGTTAAACACACCTGAAGAGCTCCTTCTGTCACCGCCTGCCTCCTCTCCCTGAGGCGCCGGTGCAGCAGGGCTTCCACGCCGTACCGACGACGGTATCGGCGCAGAGCTTTGAGCTTCTTCAGGTTCTCCCTCTCCTTCATGGACAGACCTTCAGGCCCCGTCAGCAGACTGCTCCCTGAGAGCAACACAAGCAAGTTCAGATAATGCTCAGTAAATAAACATAAAAAGGTTTGGGAGGATTTCCAACAAAGAACTGGTACGTAATCAACACGTAGTCAGATAGTAGTTGCCATTACCTAGAGTTTCATGCTCCACCTTGCGGTTGTGAAGGTATCTGCGCTTTTTCTCCTTAAGCAGGTGCTGCAGACGTTTGAACTGGTCGATGTAGAGGGACTGGAGCCGGATGAGCTTTTCTCGAGTAATAAGTGCCACTTCCTCGGCTGTGTATACACCTGCATGTCTGCGATTTCAAAAACAAAATGTTTTATTAGTCACCATAAAGTTCAGAAAGGAAAAGAGTTCTGTTACAGCTGTACTCATGTCTTCAAACTAGCTCCAACCAATGTGACAATCACTGATCTTAAAGGTAGGGTAGGTAAGAATGGAGAAACCAGCTCGAGATCGCTAGAATTTGAAAATACGCAACCGGAAAAAAATCTGCCTCTTCCTTCAGACCTCCTTACAGAGCCCCTCCTCTAACACACAGGAACGCGCACATGACCAATGAGGGCACGAGATAAGTTTGTGCACAGATGGAAGGCTGACAGGCAGGTAGACCATCCAGTTACTTTAGCCGGACCGGCTCAGATGATTGGTCGTGCTTTTTACAGCGCTACGGCTTCCACTGATGACTTTTGTATGTATTTGTTGTCAAAGCACTTAAGATATTCATTGCTATCGGGATGTGAAGAGCATTCCATGGAATTTAACAAATTAACAAGTTTCTGAAGTGAATGACCTCCCCCACCTTTAAGCACAATGAGTGGGTAATGGACCACAGAGTTCACATAACATTTTAAACAAAGGGAAAATGTGAGTTTGGTTGCAAAACTTGAGAATAGGCCAGATCTTTGGCTTACTTCAGAGGATCGTCGTGGTCACTGTCAACGCTGTCTGCTTCACTGTCAGGGTCTCCTCTCCATGTTTGGTCTAGTACCAAAGGACCCTGCTCCTCCTCACTCAGACTGTCCTCATCTGTCGAGAGAGAGGTTAAAATCCTCGTCAAACATCTCATCACGGAGGAGAAATGAGCACACCATACCGTCAGAGCTGCATTGACTTCAATGTTCTCGTATTAAAAACATTGACCATTAATCAATTTACATTTTCTCCAAAACTGGTACAAGTTAAAAAAGGAGATTGTTTTCATAACCTTGTTCCTTTGTGGGCTATTTTGGACGCGTAGATGTTACAAACTACAAGCATTATCTTTTACTCACACTAAGAACTTCCAAAACCATTATGCGTGTGCCTACCGCAGATGCAACTGTGTGCATGATTAACAGATTAGATACGGGCCAGTTTTCCTGTGCGTGCAACATAAAACCATCACGCATGTGGTGATTTAAAAGAGGTAGTGTGGAGAAGAAATGTGCAACATGTGCAGGATTTACAATTTTAAAAAGAACAAGATCGCATGATGTGCATGTATAAATATGACTGTTTCAAACTAAACAATTGAAATATGGTTGCAGTCTGAGTGGGCAGGGGTTAGGATCAAATCATGACAAAGAGAAAAATAGTGAAGAGTCAAACTGATCAAGAAACAGCCTCATAACTTAAAACCATAAGAGTGTGAGTTTTTCCTATACAAGAATAATCCTGTGATCATTTCTCAACATACGAGGCGGGTTATGGTAAATCACGAAAGGCTGAACTGTACTAATGATATGCCCGAGTAGCTGACACCACGAGTTGGTCATTATGTCTGAGCTTTGCTACTTTGCAGGGTTTTTACAGCTCACAGTGCAGCAGACAGTTTAATGCAATAATATGTGTTCTTGTCGTCAGCAGATAAAGAAAAGTATATGATTTAAATCATGTTAAATAAAAATATATAAAAAGCATTAAACTACCCTTAATGATTTGGGGTTAAGATTAAGGGATTTTGTTCCTTCCAACTGAAATGATTAGCCCCTTTGTTTCTCTGGGAGAAATCAACAGACCACAGGAAGGAGTTCATGTTGGCGCCCTTTGAAACCTGCAGCTACTGCAAGCAGCACGTCTTGATCGGGGCCGAGGTGTATTAACAATATTTACATATGAAAATACTATATACTGTATTTAAAGTGGAGTGCTGTGGTGATTTAAAATGGGTAGTGTGGAGAAGACATGTGCAGGATTTACAATTTCAAAAACAACTGGATGTAATGTGCATGTATAAATATAACTGTTTCAAACTAAACAAAAAAATTGGAATATGACACTAATGAACAGTCAGTGCCTCTTTACAAAGTGCTGATGCAAGTCATTGCAGATGGGATAAACCTCTGTCCAGATCATTTACCTAGAATCCGGCTAGCTTCAGAACGGCCCCCGTCAGCGCTGTGAGTCTCTGCACGGTTGTATCCACTGAGCTGAGACAACAGAGACTCTGGGGAAGGACCAGAAGACGCCTTTCTCATCTGAGCTCGAAGGGCCATGGCGTTCCTGCGAGCATGCTCTGTGCAGAACGTCACTCTAAAGAACACAGAAGAAATACAGTCAATGGAGAAGAGAGATTTGACCAAGCAGCTTGGATTTGTTAACCTGTTAAGCCCCGAGCCTGTTTTTCAGGTCTCAGCTCGAAAATGACATTCCCAGAACAAATGACCATATCTTCCCTTCTAAAAGGGTTACATTAATAATCTTTTTTCTCAAAGCAAGGTTACACCTGTGAGTTGGATGTAGAAGTGTCAGACTCAATATAGATGTTTTTATATTAAAGTAAATTCAGATTGAACACAGTAAAAAAATTGTTTTCATTATTGTGTCCGTCCAAAAAAAAAGAAATTACTTATAGTGAAAACCACCCTTGAACGATGGGATGGTAGACTAAAAGCTTGATGAATCCAAACTACAACATATAATAAGTACCCTGTATCAAGATTGATGCAAAACAAGTGAAATTTGACCTTTTTAGAGAGATTTAGCAACAAAAAAAACACTTCTGGGGTCATTTGGGTGGATTTGACCCATCTCTGGCCCCCCTTGCTCGATTTTGCTGATTGACATCTCTTTCTAACCGTCAGAGCCAATGGAATCGAGGGGAACTCCCACATACTCCTTATTTGGTAATGTGTGTGTGAGACTGACGCATAGCCAAAACCGGAAGCTGCGATAACTCTGGTGGCTACCATTAGCAGCTAACTGTTACTCTCCGATTTTCACATAAAATGGAATTATGGATTATAAATTTAAAAAAAATCCACAGAAACATTATCAACCTATGGATTAACCAATTCAGCCGCGTTTTTTCTCGTTTTAATGCCATTGAACAAGTCTTTTGATCAGATTGACAGCTACGGTGAGACGATCTCCCGTAAAAGCTACGTAAAGGTACGTGTTGTGATGTCTGTGTTTGCTTCCCCTGTCAAGAGTTCAAATCACTCAGTGATGATATATATATATACCTGAATAATCTGTAGAACCTCAGCTTTAATCGGATATCTTGTATGTGCAGCTACAATAAGTAATAAGGGTATCTTTTATCTTGAGTTCTGTGCCAAAGTGCGTTAGCATTTTTCGCTCAGGGGTCATTCAGATGCTTCTTATGAGACTTGTGTTTTGTATCGTCAGTTAGCTGACATTATTCCCGTTAATCTGGTATAACACATTAATAGGTTCTTAAATATGAAGATCCCCTGAGACTGTCGTGAAAAAAAAAGTACCCACCGAGGGGGACCTTGGGGCTTAACAGGTTAATGTGTGTTCGTGTCTTCCATAGTAAGAGTTATAGTTGATAATAAAGCTGAGGTTCTACTTTTTCTGACTTGTTAAAAGCAGAAGAATATTAGATTGTCCACACACCCGTCTTTCCTCTCGACTTTTGGTGCAGCGTTGGGGCAGCGCTTGCCGTTCTTTGCTGAGACATAGCTGCACTGCTTGTACGGAGAGTTCTTATCCTCCAGGATGTGTTTGACGCAGAAGTCCAGGCCCTCCAGGCGAGGCTGAGAGCATGGTCGCTGTGTGAAGGAGCAGGCCTGGGGCTCCTGGGGACGAGGAGTCTGGGTCACCCGGTTCCGACTTGAAGGTAACACGTGGATTCGTATCCTATTCATTACAAAGTCTGGGGGAATAAAACGAAAATAAAGTTAAAACAACAAGGCATTTAGTTTTACTGGGTAACACCATCTTTTCTTGGACTTCTCTATTGTGAAGATTTCCTGTTCAGGGAGTTGTAATATCAGTAGGACAAACCCATACTTTAAATAACCAGATATTTTCTGACATTTAATAGAAGACAAATATTAAGAGATACAAAAATGGAGACTAGAACTGGCAAACTAGTAGATATTAGTTAAGTGGCCGACACATTTAATTAAACAAGTATTTATTTATTTTTTAGAATCAAAAATCTCTTGACAGCTGCTGCTATTCCCACAATAAAAAAACAGAAATGTGAGAATGTCTCATTGTCAGCGTGTGTGCCTAGTGTTGAAAAGGTGCTATATAAATAAACATGACTTGCCTTTAATAAAATGGAGGCTTGGGGTACACTATTGTCACTAATTGCCAATAAAACTGACTGGAATAAATGAGTGTACAAAAAAAAGTGTCTTTCAAGCCCACATTTCCCTTAAGTCACAAATTGGGGGAAGAGGTAACAGATGTTGAAGGTAAACCAATTAAGAAACGCAGATGGCTAACAGAACTACATAAACACAATATCAAAAGCAGTGGTAAGAATACCTGGTCCAATTAAAATATTATTGTTAACGTTGGAGAAGGCGTTGGCAGGTCAGGTGGCTTGTCAGACACGACTATGATTAACATATGTTAACTTGCTATAGGTTAATATTGTTCATTTACATACAAAACTTCCATACTTCGTAAAAAAGTAAATACGTAAAATAAATTATAAACAATTATTTTTAGCTAATATTACAAATGTAGAATAAGTACATTTCTCTGTCTTTAAGAATTCTAAGCAGGCGCCACAGCAGCGTTCAGCCCGCCTCTATTTACTGCGTCACTCTGCCCTCTTTCAGTTATGGCGTCGCCATCTTTGTTAGCAGTTGCTAATATTAGCCAACCGCCGTTTCTCACAATTTGTGGCCAATAAGTGAGTTTTACTGACCGATAGTAACACATGGTCGTTCTCTTCACATTGTAGACAAGGCTCTTTACAAGAAGATGCAACTATCTGCATTTTTTGCTCAGAATTGCTTACCTTCTTCACGACGGTCCTACAGGGTTTAGCTTCCGTGGCACACTACGTCGGTTTGTCCAACTGCCACACAACAGCCTCTGCAGAATCTCCACGGATCCCGCCCACCGAGAGCTCTGATTTGTCGAAGCTCAGGGCATTTCATTGGTCAATCAATCAGCCAACGCAAGTGGCATCAGCTGCAATCATTTTACACCACAGTCCTGCAGAAGTGAAGTTTTATGAAACACACATTCAAGCGTTTTCTTAAAATATTTATTGTCTTTTTATTTGAGAATAAAGCAACCACATTATATAAAAAAGAAAAGGGTTCACATATAACGTTTTAACAGAAAACAAAAATTCCAAGTTTCATTTCCAGACCTGAGTGTCACTTAAACACCAAGACGTGAAAAATAACAAAACATTAAACTCATTGGAGCTATGTGACTTTGCATTGTTAGGTTGCATGTGTCTTTCATTTGTTCCACATTCAGGTTTTATTGAAATGTGTGTCCTTTTGTATGACTTTCCTCAAAGCATAACGTTGAAACCTAAATTTGAAGATGTGTCGGGATCAAATAAAAATACTTTCAGAGGGCAATATATTTAAGATCTTCTAATCTAATAGTCCAACTGTTGTACATGTAACACTTTGTCAATTGCATTGTAGGCAAACCTACTGATAAATATTCAGTGCATTTACTGTTTCCCTTTTACAAGAGTTGAAAAACCAATAAAACCTCTGCTGCCTGAGCAAAGGGCTGTACCATATTAAACTTATATTTCATACAATGAAGGGCACACAAATATTTTACAATTGTATGGCTGATGATTTGTTGTACTGCATTACTGTAGACTGCCTAAAACAAATGAATTGTGGATTACAAACTGTTAAAAAGAGCAAGTAAAGAGCAGTAATACTATACAATCAAAACCACAAAGATAATATGAATTAAATGTACAGATGATACCCGAATCTTTGCCAACAAGTGGCCCCTCCTCCACTATACTTTTCACATCATTCTTTATTTCATGCTCATGACCCTGTAGTGGAGGTATGTCGATAATCAGATTGACGCATTTGATTTACACAACTAAAGAACACATACAAACTTTTGTTTAATCATGGCTTACACATGGATTATAAACAACAATCTGAAGCTTAATATCCACTTGGTTTTGTTTTAAAAGTATGAAATTATAGACAGCTTCAACATGATTAAACCAGACGTGCATGAATTGACAAGTGTACACTGGAGTTCAGACATTTTCAAAGGAAACTGCATAAATGAAAGACTATAAAAAAAACAGACACATGGCGTTTGATTACTTTTTTGATATAGTGTATTGTGAATACTTTTATTGTAGATTGTGCTCAATATGGTCACTACAAAGTGAGCACCAGCAGAAAAAAGTGTTTTCTTAAATCCGACAGTTTCAGGGCTCCGCAGATAACAACTAAAAATGTTGTATTGAATCTGCCTATTTGTTTCTCTGCATTAAACCACAAAGACTCGCCCCCAGAGGAAACTGATGAACAAGTGACGGGACAGGATTTTAAAACTCACATTTCTTCTCTAGAGGGATTTCTTTGATGCAATTCCTTCATTGTGACCATACCGTAGATATGTTTGAACTCTTTGAACCCTTTTGATAAAACCATAGATGTACATCCTTGGTATGAACTTCGCCCATTAGTGTAATTATTAGAGAACTGAATATATGAATATTTTACAACCATTTAAAACAATGACTGCAACACTCGAAAAAAAAACAAGCGTCAGTAATTTACATATTTTTTTGCGTTTTTTCACAATAAAAGTAAAAAATATTTGATGTTTGTTTTAAACATTTTACAGTCTTTGTACAGGTTTTGCCAAATAATGAAGAAAATAAAATACAGGGCCTTTTTTGGGGGGTTATGGCTGTTTCAAAAAAATATTGAAAAGATGGCTTTGGAGACATGCACTAGCCTGTACAGTCTTGATGAAGATCCCTCTGCCTGAAAAAGAAGAGGGGGAACCTTCAAAAAAAAGGTAGAAAAGGGGATTGTTTTTTTGTTTTTCTTAAAAAAGCATTCAATGAATAAATAACATACTATAAAAACATTATAAAAACACAATCGGAAATGAGACCCAACATCTTTTAGTTCCCCCATGATTTCGAGACAATGACAGTGTTGCTAAAAAAATACCAGGTCCCCTCATCACATTTTGTTTGCGTTAAACAGAAAGCATTGTATCTACACCTTCCTGTATCTTTTTCTCACATGTTGCAAGCTTTAAAAGCCTTTCATTATTGCCCCTGTGTGAAGTGGAAAAAATAGTAATGATGTATCACGCACGCCAGTACATTTCACTGCTGTCACACAGAAACCTATTCAAAATGCTGGGCGAGTTGAACAAAAAAAAAAATACCATATGTAACAAGATGTCAAAGTACAATGTACATAATAAGCCTCCTGATCAGGAAGCTATTTGGGCAGCGGAGGCAGTTGGGGAGGCGGTTCTGAAGGGAGGGGCGGTGGCCTGCCGTTTCCTCGGGTGCCCCCGCTGAACCGGTACTCCCCAAACTGGGTTCTGTAGTCAAACATGGACGGCTGGGCTGGCTGGACCCCCTGCGCGCTCAGAAGAGAGTTTAGCATTTCAAAAGTGTCTTGGTACTCGTTCGACTGGGGTCCGCCCACCGCACCGTGCCCGTTCGTGTCCGTTTTGTCGCCTTTCGAGAAGCTCCCTTGGTGGTGGGAGAGGCCCAGGGCGGGGAGAATGTCAGCGTTGTGCCCCAGAGTTTGCCCAGAGGAGGAAGACAGGGACGGTATCTGGTAAGCGTTCCTGGTGGACTTGCTGACTTTGGAGGCAGGGCCTCCTGCTGTGGGCTCCTGGGAATGCGTCCTCTTACGAGACGCCGAAGAAGACGAGGAGCTTGTTCTAGAGGAGTCGCTCGGGACCTTTTTGCTACCTCCGACTGCCCCGCTAGAGTTAGATGAGTGTTTGTGTGAGGTGGAGAGAGAGGCACTGGTGGAGGAGGAATGGTGGTTGTGGTGATGATGGTGGTGGTTTGAGCGGTCCCTGTGTTTGTCTCTGCTCTTGCCCTCCTCTCCTGAACTCCCCCTCTGCTTCTCAGGCACTCGTATTCTGACCTTGATGTCCGTGTCCTGACCCTTGGCGCCGCCTCCTCCCCCGGCTAAGGGGAAGCGCATTTTCAGAGACGACCTCTCGTGCCTCTCCTTCTCCAGGGGGATTTTCAGGATAATGGGCGAAGGGTTGTCAGAGGAAGAGGAGCTGGACTGCTGGTGATGCTGCTTATCCTTCCTCTGCTGCTGTCCGATGAGAGCCTGAGCAGCGTTGGCATAGTCCCTCTTCACGCTGGCCTCCATGTTCTCCAGCTTCCTCTTTTGGGCGGCAAGGACGTCTGCATTCTTGGCCCGGTATTCACTCAGCGACACCTTAGCGGGAACATGCACCTCGTTGTTGAGCTCGGATGCAGGCTGACCTTTTCCACTCCACGTGGCGGCGCTGCCAGCGTCCCCCCTGTCCTTGTCACCGGCGGACGAGGAAGACGAGGCGTCAGGTGGAGCCGAGAGACTCATCAAGCCTGCCACGGTGCTCTCTGATGAGGCCATGGAGATCATGCTCATCATGGTGTCCCTCTGGTCTCCCTCCTCCTGGACTTTGGGCTTGGCTTTTGGGGTTGAGCCTCCAGCCTGGTAGCAAATAAAGAATTACAGAGAGGTCAGTAAATGTGTGTACAATGCAAGATGTCTTGGCTTTAGGTCTTTGGTTGCAAATGAGAAATAAATCTGTACCTTCCAGTTGCGAATCCTTTTCAACCTGCTGGGTGTTTTCTCAAGAATCTGCAGGAACTCGTGTGTGAGCTCTGAAAGAAGATATACAAACAAGATCAGCTGGAGAAATGTGAAAGTTCAGACTGACCTGTAACTGCTTTCCAGGCACATTCAAAATCAAGTGAATTTCGGGGTCATAAACAGCACATACCATCCAGCAGCTCAAGGGTAACTGTGGGATCGACATACTCCCACCAGTGTTTGCCGTCTGTAGACACGGGGATCTCCCAGTTGGACCATTTGCAGGCGAGGTGGATGCACACGCAGGCCACGACCGGCGGACTGTACTGCAGGCAGAACGTGGTCAAGTGGAGACTACGTGGCAGGATACATCCCAGAAGGCAATACAAAACAGAAACAGGGGAAGAGAGAGAACAGACATGTCGAGTTAGAGGATTATACACAAGTAATGCGGTGGTATACATGATGATAAAAGATGTCAGCAGTGAACTGTGAATATACCTGTTAGTGGCCATAAAGTAGGATGTTTGAGCCAGATCCTTACTCGCTGGAACAACAATAGAACAAAAAAAACACACTTAAAACCTGCGATAGTGATTCAGCGTGCAAACACACAACGATAGTGAAATATACAAATCAAATTCTCTAAATTGAAGAGTTAATGCTCACCTCTAACAAGCTGAGTGCACTTGACAACATGAGTATGTGGATGATCAATGGTGATTTCAAAAGCTGTAATAAAAAAAAAAGGACAAAAAGAGACTCGATAAATGAAATGCAAAAGTCAAGCTAACATTTGCACCACACAGATTTCTCCCTGAAAACCAGAAAATGAATACTGTTATTCAAAACTATGTGTTGTGGAGAATAACGTGGAATATCACTTTGCATGGGCTCTTCCAATAACATCCTAGACGATGTGAAAACAACAGATGAGTGTGAAAAACATTAAAGGCATGCCGGTACAATTATTAAAACGCTCGCTTTGTCTGATGACCCTGAATCTTGTTTAAAAAGTAAAAACACAATTTGGTGTTTTATTAAAAGCACTTTTATCTTCTTCAACTGCCTACAATAATGGGGAAATGTGACCGGAGTGATTCTGTTTATGATGCATCAACATAGTCCTTAAAGAAATGGTTTAAAAATATGTAGATAAAAGAAAAAAGGGGAGAGTGGAAATGTTAAAAGTTATGGACATATTAGAAACAAAAGCGTCATCACTGCAATGCAACAGTGAGAAAGTGCTGTTAATATGAAGCCTGAATGTCTCTTTCCTGTGCTGCTAACCGTATATGGGCTTTCTGTGGACAAAGTAAAACAGGTTAGCAGTATTTTTTTTAAATCACATGTGTTTCTAGAGGGAAATTTAAAGGGCCCAGTTTCTTCCATCCCAACTTACCCAAGGTCTGGAGTATTATGCTCTCAAGAATGACCAGGTCTTGGGCTTGTTGCAGGTAGGCCTGAAGTTGAGAGGACAGGCACGTTACTCACTAGGAGGCCTTCATCCAAACACATTTAAACCACCTTTCATATAGAGCTGAAGAAGCCTCACAGATAAGTGGTGAGACAATTAGAAGCTACACACTGAGCAGTACAGGTGACCCATGTGTCAAGAAGGACCAACACATGAGGAAGCTTAAACCAAAACACCCTCACAAAGTATTTGTACACAGTTTAAATGCAATTTTAAAAGAAGTAAAAGCTGAACTTCAGTTGTTAAGTAATTGCCAGACAAAAGTCCCATAAAAGAGCACCTGCATCAAAGCTGCTATTAAAGCAACAACATTTTCTAGGAGAACAAAGATGATTCTCTCTTGGATTAAACTGAAAGTGGGAGCGCAAGGAAGCATTACAGCCAAATCATTGCTTCTGAACAAACACAAACATCGCTAAAACACAAAACAATATCTTCCCAAGTTCTACTGATAAAATAATACATTTCCCTTAAAGGTCCCATGTCATCCTTTTCCGGTTATTACCCGTCCCCTTGTGGGTTATGAAGGTTGTTCTGCATGTAAACGGTCTGCAGTCACAAACCCTCAAAGTGCACCCTGTAGCGAGTAAAACTCTAACACAGAAAAGACCTGTCTGTGCTGCCCCAGAACGCCTCGTTGGACATTTCTCTTATTCCATTGTTTTCTTCCTGGGTACAGTGACGTGCCCATACCCAAATGGACCCAATCCGTGGAGCCGTTACGTCCGTGGATCGGTACACCCAAATTGACCAATCCACGGACTTCCTCACACACACAATCTTTTCTCAGCTGCAGCTCCGCCGATTTCTCCTCCCTGAGACGGCGGGACGCGGCGAGGCTGTGAGTCGGTGTGTGAGCACACACACACAAACTCCCAGCCAGGCTGTGGGTGTGTGTGTGTTCGGGCTGGGTTTTGCTGTCTCGCAGACGGCCACTGGGCTCACAGGGAGGGGGGGGCAGGAGCTCCAACAAGCCGTTTAGGACAGAGAGTGAATACACATACTCTACAGAGATGCTGTATGAGAAACCAATGCGATTTTAGAAAATTGCACAATGTACATCTAATCTAGTAGACCTCAACAATGGAATTATGATCAGTAGAAATGGCCATGACATGGGACCTTTAAAGATGTAATACTGTGGAGATTACATCTCTACCACATCAGGTAATCTTAGGAGGAGATAGAGCACAATTGCTGGCGATGTTGACCAAAGCCCAATACTTACATCACTGCGTACATCTGGTGAAGGATCCTGAGGATTGAGGCATGCATGTGCAACCTTGATAACATGTTCCAACTTCCGGGGCTGCTCCTCAACCTTTGCAGCGAGGAAGAGTGCGGCTGGAGAAATAACCTAGTGAGGGTAAAACAAAAATAAGTTCAACACAGGAAGTAACTCGCCACTGTGTCTGAGCTTAAAGAGACAAAGAATACTTACATTTCTGTGAAATCTGGTGAAAGACTGGACCATGTAGAATCGATGCATGTACACAATGGCTGTATTAATTGTAAGTTGGGACCTGATAAATGGGAGTTGAGGAATAATGTAGCAAAGAGTTCAAGTACATCACAACACCGGCATTAGGTCTAGTTTAGCATTTGTTCTTAAGGGGTCCTTAACGACCAAATCAATTACACATTAGGAAAATACATGCATTGTACCAGATGTAGGTACTGGACTATTTCTCAAGCCCCTTGGTAGGTCAAAACAAAAACTAGTTCTGATGCAGTTACACAATTGCATGCAATACATACTAAATCTCAATAACAGATCAAAACATACATAAGTGTATTAATAAATACACTTTGCAGAATTTCTATATGTAAATCGGAAATAGGACCTGGGTCTAAATGTAAAATAACACAAGTGAATGAGCTTTAATACTGCTAATGACTTTTAAAACTCAATAACACACCAGTGGCAGAGCAACAGCTAGCTTCACATGTTAGCCGAGAACGGTTGTTTTTGCAAATGAAGTGGTCGAATCTGAAGTATACACATTAATACACTAAAACATAATGTGTGTTAACCTTGTTTACCCACTTTAGCTGCACATGTTCTTTACTAGCATTCACAGTCAGAGGTAAAGCTAAAGCTAACGTCCCGAAGGCCCGCCTACCACACAGGCCTTCGTGGTTTAGCCAACTACGCCGCTCTTAGATAACGCTTGCAAGCTAACGTTAATGTTGTAAAACCACAAACCACCGCTTGAAACTGATGTAAACCCTACAAACAAACTAAAAAACCTTCGAACTAGACACAACAACAAGTAGCAGCCATGCTCTCCGCTGAACCGGCTTCACGGGTAAAGTTCGCTAGCCAACAAGCTAATGATGCTAACCAACAAGCTAATGTGAACGCAAGTCGTCCCTCCGACAAAAGATACACATTGAGCCGCTGTCCCATGTCCTGCAGCAGGTTGGCCGCCTGTTGTCTGTAGGACAGCTCCTTGTCCGGATCAAGTCCAGCTCGCTTAGACGGGTTGTTGTCGATCTGTTCCCGGGTGTAGTACCATTTGTTGTTACAACTTGCAGGGAGAGAACCAAACGAAGCCGCCATCACTGAGAAGGACGATAGTTTAAAATGTCTGCGCGTCACAGGAACATACGTCACAGCCCGGTAGTAAGGTCGGTGCAGCTCTGCCAGTGACCAGCAGGGGGCGATAAAACACCACATTGAAACATTAATGAGAACCTGTGAATGGAAAACCTTTGAATGTAATGTGTTGTATGCGAAATTATTTTACTATTCTTTGGCAACAATATATTTGATTTATAAGTCAGCTCTTCTGCACAAGCAAGACAAACTCAAGTTTCTTCCTTTTGGATGGAACAAATAGTCACCCTGAGTGCAAACAATAATAATTAATGTAGATGTGTAATATCTATATTTGCATTGTGAGGACTGAATGTGGAAATGAGTATATATCAGAAAATAGCAACGGTGGGAGAAGTACCAGAGTGTAGGAATACTATGTTACAAGTAAAAGTTCTGCATTCAAATATTACTCAAGTAAAAGTAGAACAAGTATTAGCATCAAAAGTACTCATTATGCAGATTGGCCAATTTCAGAATAATATATATTAAATGTTCTGATTATTATTATTGATGCATTAAAGTGCTATCAAAGCTGGTAAAGGTGCAGCTAGTTTTAATGACTTTGTGTACTGCAGGGTAGCTTGTGATTTTGCTCCAGGTGGAACTAAAGTCTGATTTAAGAGTTATATATATATATATATATATATATATATATATTAATCAAACATCTTCAAAGTAAGTAAAAGTATGAAGTAGAAGTACAAAGTAGCCTCAACAGAGCAGGCAACATAATTGCAAACTCTTCGCACCCTGGACACTTCCTGGTTGCTCTTCTGCCCTCCGGTAGACGCTACAGGTCAATTCAATCAAGGACAAACCGACTGAAAAACAGTTTCTACCCCAGAGCCATACGAGAACTGAACACCGTCAAACGCTGAACTAGCACACACACAGTAACAATTTGCAACTGCACTACTTTTTAATAGTTGTATTAATTTATTAACTGATCGACATCAGAGATGCCAAATATCATCCCTGTGTTTTTTATATTGTAAACTGTATTTAAATTATGGGCGGGCATGTATAGGTATGGATGTGTGAGCATATGTTTTATTATGTTTATATAGATATATATTTGTTCGTATTATGTGGAAATGCACTGCGAGGATTGCTTCTTAAAATGTCGTTGTACCTGGTGCGATGACAAAGGAATTCTATTCTATTCATAAAATGGAAATACTCAAGTAAAGTACAAGTATCTCCAAATTGTACTAGGCCTACTAGAGTAAATGTACTTAGTTACTTAACACCACTCTGAAATTGTTTCCATACTATTAGAATTGTGTCTCAAACTAATACATTCAATTGCAAAGTATGCTACTCAGATTAATGTGTAGTGACAGTAGTGTCCAGTGAAAACAGTTGTGATACGTTGAGAATGAGTCGCGCTTTCTTCGGTTGTATCCTAAGAGTTAATTATATCTATATGAAATGAAATAAAAAGCTTAGTTTGCTATCGCTAAAGCTTGGTTAAAAAAAGTGATCTGATACATTATTTGTAATTGACATTGCTACTCCGGCTTCTTTTTTGACATATTGGTGCTTTGTAAACCCGGGCATATTATCTATCCAAGATATTAACTATAAAAACTATGAACTACTTTAAGCATTTAATTATTTGTATCTTCTGTCACGTATCAAGTCCAGTCAGTGGCTAACTGTGGATAGAATAAAAATACACAGATACAATAAACAAGTATTTGAACCAAAACAACAACCAAGAGTCAAAAGAAGCAGATATCCAAAAGTTGAAAACAATTTATTTTAAATCACAAAATGTTATAAAATGGACAGATAACTGAAGCAGTGTACCAATGGAATCCCAAAGATAAAACACAGAAAAAAACAATAGGCTGTCTGATAAATCAAAAGTACAATTAAATACACAGGTACAGACAAATGAGTGAGTTAAAGCACTTGGACAGAAAAATCATAGTTCTGTATTTACGTGTGGTATGTATAAGTATATTAACGTACTAGTTTGCTTTTAGTTCCTGCTTAATCTAGTATGTGACACAGATTGAGTTCATGTGTATCCAATCAGTTCGAGCCTCACTGGTCTTTATGATGCTTTGTCAGGACTCAGTTTTAAGTTATGACCATTTAGGAGGACTTTAATCAAGTGGCCTTCACGCTTCCTGTAGATTCTCCCAGTAAATGCATTTTTGTTTTGCCTCCTCTTCCTCATTTGATTCGGGACCTTTCTGGTGGATGAGTGCACCATTATGATTTAAGATTGAACAGCACATATTTCCTGAGACTTAGAGTTCAAATGATTTCCCCTAAGCAGCTGGAAGGATTTGACTGAAGATACTGATCAATGAAAAGGCAGTGATTGAATTCAGTTGCGGGACTGAAATGTTGCTCCAGTCGGTTTGAACTAAACGTTTGTTGAGATTATTTTCTCGTTTGTTTTAGAGGATCTAACCCATCCATTTATCTTTGCATCTAATTATACTTTTGATTGACAGGAGTCCTATCGGAGACATTTGTTGTCTTTCGGGATCTCGGTTGTGCAGTAATGAAAATGCTTTACAAAAAAAACACAGGCTCTAAAATGTTTTCACACAATCCCAAATCTTTCCGCGCGCTTCATTTTCTTTGCCTGTAGGGAAAGAGAAAGACATTAATACACAATATCTATTTCTTGTTTAACTCGTTGCATTGTAGGAAGATATCCCGTCTAACCAGTAACACGCTAATCAAACCTACCTCTACTTCAGGTGAAGCGGGTGAAGCGGCTGTAGCGACTGCAGCAACTGCACCTGTTGAAGCTGCTGTGACCCCGAACCGCTCCTTCCTCTTCTTCAGCTTCTCATCCTCTTCAATCTGAAAAACCCCAACACATTTAGCATCACTTTCCATGCTAAATGTAACAGTTGCAACATGATCATAATGAAGCTCGTCGTCACCTTTTGTGAAACGGAGGAGACGTTCATGCCAAATCGTTCTGCTCTCTTCTTCAGCTGATCAACGTTCACCTTCACGAGACATCAGAAAGGTTTTAATCAACATCGTGTCATTGAGCAGAGGAATTCAAGAAGTGTGTCGGGTAAAGGATGCAACACTTACAGGAGCTTTAGCGGCCGCAACACCGCCTGCTTGGAAGACAAGGAAATACAGTTGTGGGAAACAGTATAAGAAAATACCCCAACAGAAGCTTCACAAGTTAAAACGTGAAATGACTAAACTTTCACGAGGCGTCAACTACACATCTTTTTTGTTTTGGTTCCTTGAGAAGATGACATTCAGTTGAGGAAAAGACGAACCTGCGGTGGGAGCTGGAGCGGACTTCTCCGTGGTTTCACCGAACCTAAACAAAAAGGAGCATCCTTATTTTAACATTGCTAAATACATTTACTAGTTTAAATCCAGTGGACTGATAGCTGCAGTTTGTGGAGGGCATAGACTTTCATTTTGAGTGTAGAGCGTCACATTTCAAGCAGGGCTCGAGCTTAAGGACGTCCCGTCGTCGGAAAAAATAGTGTCGGGGAGGATAACAAATAATTTTGGGACGAGAGTTAAAATAAAAATACCCTGCTAACTCTACTACAAACGGCGATGAAAATGAAACCGACTGCACGTTTTGTGTAGCACACAGTTATTAAACCTCCCTGTCAACATAAACACACACAAAACATTTAGCAACCCCCGAAATACACACACGTAGCTACAGCTGTGCCGCTGGCTGTGTCCGCGAATTCCTGGCCCGCAAAATCGCGGGTCTAGCTATGTAGGCTACTGAGTGTGTGTATTTCGCGGGTTGAGTGATGTACAATGGCATCCCGTGGAGGAATTCTGAAATGTTTTCCGTTACATCACAAAAACGCACAGCAGTACCAGACCCTGGAGCGCCGGCCTCTTTATTTACTTACTCCTCTTCATCCCCTATGGGTAATAAGGCTGAGAAGAGAACCCTCCATCGTATTTAGTCCTTAGCAATATGCTGCGCCTCTCCCTTATCTCCTAATTATTAAAGACAGTGGTAACGTTAAGCTCCGACGTTATCGGACTTTTTTATCGGTACTGGAGACATTTAAAAAATATATGTCATATGTATTATTGCTACATACACATTATATCGCAGTTTTAGTTTCGCCAACTCCGTTTCTAATATGCAATAAGACTACAACATGCGTCTATGATGTATTTCCAATCCAGATGAGATCTCTCTCTCTCCCGTCTGTGTGCGAGGGGGCGGGGCCGTTTGTAAAGGTCTCCTGACTGTGTTACAGACTGTCATCCTGGTTAGTGGTTACTCTGGGTTCTGTCTTCAGGACAGTGTTGGATTGTTTTGTTAATTGGATGGGACTTGATTGGATTCAATATTAGAGTAATTTTCTTGTTTGTGTGTTTGTTTAAATATATTTGGCCTTTGTTTATGTGATTGAATGATTTACTCAAATAAAAAGGTTGATGAATTATCATCTAATGATTTGTATGATGTTTTATTTATGTTAAAGGTCACTTTGAATGATTTTAACTAATGATAATGTAGAAAAACTAACATTTTAAATTCGGGACGGTCCACATTAATTTCGGGACGGCTTAGATTGTATTTCGGGACGGTTCCGGGAGGATGGGGAAAAAAGTTAGTCGAGAGCCCTGGTTTCAAGTATTATGTACTCAGCTTCCAGGAGTGATATTAGCTGACTTTTAAAAAGGGGTGCAGAACATGAAAACATTCCCAAATAAGACATGAAGTTATTTAAAAACAAATAGAGTGCAGGGGGCATTTACTGAGTGCATGCTAGATAGACCCCATGAATGCTTCGCTTCAGTTTTTTGTATTTATTTTTAACACCGTAACTGCTCATAAGCGTTTTCTGTTTAAAGAACATTTTGTTAACCTTGGAGTTTTTAGTAACTGGGTGTTTCTCAATGTCGAGGAAAGCTGCTCCAGAGCCACTATTTCAAGCATACTCATCGAGTGCCACCGAAGGACTGTTCCAATGTCCAGCATACTTGGAACTCTACCGAGCCCGGCGTACCTCGTAGCGAGACATTTTGAGGCTGCATATGTGTAGACTCCAGTCTTAAAATCCCCACAATGCTTTGCGCACGGACCAATTTCCCCAAATCTGTGGCGGGGCCTCTCACATGACGCACTTTTTCCGAATGCCAGGAAGTATTCTTGCCTCGCTACTGAAGCAAGTGACTCCGAAGACATGTGCTACCAAGCAAGCGTACTCGACATTGAGAAACACCCACTGTTACATCCCCTCTAATCTCAAGAAGGACCGTTGTTATTAATACCCGTAAGAATAACGGCCAAATCACAGAAATAGAATAGTAAAAGCCGGAAGCATCCCGTCCTACCTTGCTGCACGGATAGCCTTTTTGCTTTCAGCTGTGGCCGGCAGGTTGAAGCGTTCAGCTCTCTTCTGTAGTCTCTGCTCAACAGAAGGGAAGCGTTTGAATCAGAACACACGCTGCTGCTGCTGATCAATATTTGCATTTTCTCTCTTCTTTCACATGAGTGCTGAAAGTTACCGTGGATAGATTATCTTGGTCTTTAAAGATCAGATATCACTCCCACATGTATTCAAATGTGCAGATTAAAGGCTTGTCATACGTACTTCACCAGTAGATGATGGAGGAACGATTTTCACCACCTTCTTATCTTCAGCTCTGAAGGAAGTGACACAAAGAAGTTAGAGAATAAACATGTATTAGTGGTGATAACTAAAGACTCGTTTTAAACCTGTGTTTATGAGTATGGGGCTAACTATGTCAGACATTTAAATACAAACCCTGATAACTAATAATACCCGAAATGAAGTCATGTCAATGAGATGTATGCATTTTGGGCATAACATTACATTTAAACACCTTCAATTCAAGGTGGAAGACTGTTGTTTAAAGTGCCTTCAAACTGCCTTCAACTGAGTTTAAAGTGGACGCAGCGTTTTCACTCCACAGCAGATCAATTTCAAAAATGAGTGTCCCCATTATGCACTTAGAAGAGAGGGAGGGTTTCTGGTTGTTGAAGCTTAAAATATATTTTAAAGTCAAAACTCCAGCAACACATTGGGGGTATGTGATTTGTGTTTGATGCCCTTAGTCACACACAAAATAGGGTTCAGGTCAAAAAATAATACATACGTTGCATGAAATAACTTTAATATAAAAAGGTTTATTTTCTCTGTTTTGAACTAAATACAAAAATAACGTACGTCTCTTCCTCAGTAGGCTCCTTCTCGCTTTTCAAATCGTCTGCACCATCGACACCATCGACCTTAGTGAATTCCTAAAAAGAAGAAATGTAAACGTTGACAACGACTTCACAAAATAAATTGATCAGATTTTAAAGGGCGAGTGAAAACATCAGCCATCACATTACCTCCGTGTCCTCTGCCAGCACATCGTCGACATCAACATCTTCCTCTGTTGGGATTAAGGGAAGGAGACGTTTAGAACCAGCAGAGAGCAGGAACAACAAATAGTTAAGAGATATCCGTGATATTGATCGGAATAGAAAAGAGATACCACCATGTTAAATAAAAAATGTAGGCAGGCAAATAAAAAATAAAAAATCAAGTCCATGCGTTTCAGATTTCACTCCATCCACCAAGTTAACCAAGTATAAATACCATGTCTAAGTGTGAAGTCTGTCGTCTCACCGTGCTCCTCCAGGTACGCCTGCAGTCGGGCGATGAGCTCTCCTTTGTTTCCCTTGGTGTCCAGACCTCGAGCCTCACACTCCTGCCTCAGTTCAGCAAGCTGAGACAACAAGGGTTACAGCACTTTCATTTGAGTGTGTGCTGATAAGGATGTGTAGTCGCCTGCATGAGACTGCCCATCTCCTCCCTGTCTGATCACAGAGCTATCTAGCCCGACTCATTGGGGGTTTGGAACAGCTTGGCTCTTTTGAAAATTGATTTTCAATTTGCCTGTTGTTATCATTTCTGAGCTGATAATGGTTATTTGTGTTGTATTGCTTTGTAAATCTAGTTTTAAGGTAGTTTGAGAGAACTGTGCAAAGCGGTTATAAAACCTGATTTCACTCCCGCAGAAAATGTAGTTTAGTTTGCATTAAATATCTAAGCTCCTTGTTAAGAAATACCTTTATTTTACCAAACACATCTGGTTTGAAGTTGCTTTCATGTCCTTTAACGAGCTGGGTGGTAACCTGCACAAAGTTTCTTGAAAATATTAAAACAATTGACTTGTTGAAATTAAAGTGATTTGACCAAAAGATTGAAAGCCTGTTCACTTTCCTTCCAAAATTATCCACATGGAGATACCACCAAATGAGAAAAAAGTGTGTAGTTAATAGAGGTTTACTTTAAACACAAGTGTTTATAAGACAAGATCACAACAAAGTCCATTCAGTAGCTATACTGGAAATTCAGTAGACAAATCCCATGAATATTATTCGAATAAGAATTTATTTGGTCAAAGACCACGCAGTAAACATTTGTCCTTGTCATTTTATGCGGCTATTATTTCTATTCTCAATCATGTGTCCTATTATAAATACAGCGGGAGAATTTGAAGTTGTTTTGTGGGATAAACAGTCCAAACCACTAAGAGGAACTCCCTGTAAAACCTGAGTGGACAAAGAAAAACTGATAATACTCACATTTGCGAAGCGGATCCTACGGTATTTTTTGGCATGATTTAAGCATGAAATATTCAATGACTCAATATTGTAATATTCAATATTACTGTGTGAGCATTTTAAGGACTTAGCTTTGCAGTATATCGTTTTTCAGAGAGCTTTTGAAATAGCATCCCAGAGGAGTAGCCATTTAATTTGCCGGCTAATGTTTGGCTAACATGAATTATGACCGTGGGAGGTCAAACATGATGTTGCGAATTTAATTGGGCAGAGATGGCGGGACACTTCACATCCAACCACAGGAGATATATTTCCGTTTCTAAATAAATACCACACCGCTTTGTGTTGATATAAACTAGTTCCCAACAGCTTATTGTTGTCAACGGTGTGTTTGTAGCGTGTCTCGGAGCGGTTTGCTCGGCTAGCTCCGCAGCTGAATGAACAACACGCCGGTTGTTAGCCGGGCACATTTTATACTTCAAAAACCCTATTTATCCGTATCCTTCTTCTCTGGAATTACAACTAAAGATTGTTACAACATATTACTAACTAATAAAAGCACTCAATGTTTGTAATAATTACATATTTATTCTCAGTACCTACCTTAAGTTTCTGGAGCTCTATCACTTCAGCCATCTTTCTTTGTTGATGTACCACTTCCTGGTCACTTCCTCCAATCAGAGTGCAGCGTCTCTCCTTCTGAACCCCTGGGCGCTGACTCACTTTATTTCACAGCGCCATCAGATGGACGGACTGACGAACTGCATGTTGTTGTTTATTAAACAACGTAATCTGCGCTGGGGACGCTGGGGACATGTCCCCACAACTTTTTGGCTAATTGTGTCCCCACCACCACTTTTTGAAAGTTATGGTGTTCTGTATGTTGAGATTTTGCATATGAAGATTGATCAAGTCTACACAAATATGTGCAAATTAAACACAAATATACTGTTGTTATACTTTTAGTTGTCTTCAAACGAGAAAAGGTGCAATATTCATGCACCATACATAGTTACAGTTGTGTAAACAGTACACTAATGATGCCGGGGTCAAATACAGTCAATTGAACGGAAAACTTTCAGGAAAAATAAATACAACAAATATTTGTACCGAAAAAAAGAGGAAAGAAGAGTGCTTAGTCTGCATTTCACCACCTACCTGGGTCTGGCCAGAGCCCCTCATCAACCTGCAGAAGAAGCATGTGGTGTCCAAACTATGGCCTGGGAACCAAATGCGGCCCGCAGACCATTTTGAATCGGCCCTCAGCAAATTCAAAAAGTACAATGGAATATGGCCCACAAATTAAACTTGTGCTTGTCTTATATTTTACTTTTTAAATAAAAATGTAAAAAATACATCACACAGTAGTATTCAGTTAATAAGAACACTTTTCAAATAAATTCAGTCAATTAAAGTTGGAAACATTTTCTAACATATCTTAGTTGAAAAGATAAAAAGCCCAATAACTTATTTACATAACAAGCTTGAAATAGACCCTTCCTATTTCTCCTTATTATAATCAGTCTGAGGCTTCTGTTTTAAGGGATGAGCTGCCAACACTCACAAGAATAATTTACCAACGTTTGATTGAGTTTGCTAACTTTTGTATGTGGCCCTCAGTGATAAACATTTGGACACCCCTGACCTATAGCCTGACGGTCAGGGCCGGGCCTGACCAATTTGCTGCCCTAGGCAAGATTTTAGCTTTTCTTTTTATTTATGGATATTTTACGAATCACTCCCTTTTTAAACTGTATTCTTGTTTATTAATAACAACTTTTTTTTACTATCATATAGTTTTTCATACTACTCTTATTTTTGTATAACTATAATGATCATATAAAGGTGTGCCTTTACCTCACTGAGCTGAGGTTATCAGAGCCTCTCAGTCTTTCAGGAGAGAGCTCAAAGCTCTCCCCCCCGCGGCCACTTACACAGTACATTTCAATGTTAATAAAAGCTGTATACGTTTTTTGGGAGTTTGATTTATTTTAAATGAACACAAATACAAAATTAAAACCTATAATTGCACACTAAAACCATTATTTCCAAAAAAGAACTATTTCACATAAACCTCTGGTTTTTACTGGGGCTTGATTTAGATTTGAGGGGGGGGGGGTGCGCCATAGTTTATGGGCGCTGTACGCAATATAGGCGTGGTTCTGTTAGTATAAGATAATAAGATATACTTTGCTGATCCAAAATCGCGAAATTGTGTTGTTATGAAATCAAAAATAATAATCTTTTTTTCATTACTAACTTCTTTTTTTCTTTTTCTTTTTTCGGCGCCCCCCATAGTTGATGCGCCCTTAGCATTCGCCTATACTGCCTATGCCAAGGGCCGGCCCTGCTGACGGTCACTCGGGCCGTTTCTCAATCGCAAGTAAAACTGCTGCAGAGCAACTATTTCAAGTACTACGTCATCGAGTGGCGCTGAAGGACTGTTTAAATGCATGTTAAATGCCCAGCATTCTGCTCCACTCTATGACGTAGTATACTTGAAATAGTTGCTCTGCAGCATGTGTACTCGCGATTGAGAAATGGCCACAGCTTCAACCGTTATGCTTCAAATATCTCTTCAACTGACTTCAGTTCATCCTCCCTCTTCCTCTTGCTGCTGTCCATATATCCATTGTTGTTATACATTTCTCCCATGAAGCCTTTTTCTAGTGCTTACATCCTGATTGCTGAGTCAACTAAAAAGCAGTTTGGTGTTTGTGGTCATGTGGAATGAGTATTTGTTGCTTGGTTCATGTGTGTAGCATTTTTAATAGCACTGTTTTGAAAATGGCAAACAAGTGAATATGTCAGATGTCTGTGTCTTACTTCGGGAACCGTGTGCAGTGTTTTGCAAAAAGTGCCGAGTTGAACTGCAAACTGGGTGCAGAGCTGAACGTGTGTTTAGAGTTTTGGAGATTTGAGCTGAGGTTTTGCTCTTTGAGTGAGAGTTTAAATGATTATGCTTTATGTGAGATGTGTGTGTGTTAGCAACTGAAACTGTAACGTACTACCTTTACTGGTAGTTCGGAGCTGTCTGCTCCAAAAGTCTGAGGGGACAGGACATATTTTTCAGCTGAAGACTGCTTTTCAAATGTAGAGCAGGTTGTAAGCGAGGCTCCGTTTGTGAATGAGGAAACAGTTCAGAGTGTCTGCTCCTCCTCCTGGAATGAGTCAGAGTTTGATGAGCCCTCCCTCTTCTTCCTGCTCTCAGACACAGCCAGCTCCATTTCCTGGTTCCTCCCCTTTAGATCCACACTGAGGAGGATGGGTGTAACCAAAACGTAAAGTACAAGAGCTGATAGGTCAAATTCACCGCCCACACACATGTTGTTCAGATCACAGCTCATAGTTTCAGCTCTCAGGAAGTGAAACTCACACACTCGCTCCCACTGAGAGGTGAAATGGCGCAGAAAGGAGTTCAGCATGACCGGGAAATCTTATCTTGTTCTATCTGTCTGGATCTACTGAAGGATCCGGTGACGACTACCTGTGGACACAGTTACTGCATGAAGTGTATTAAAGGCTTCTGGGACGGAGAGGATGAGAAGAAGATCCACAGCTGCCCTCAGTGTAGGCAGAGCTTCACACCGAGGCCTGTCCTGCTGAAAAACACCATCATAGCAGCTTTAGTGGAGGAGCTGAAGAAGACTGGACCCCCACCTGCTCCTGCTGACCTCTGCTATGCTGGAGCTGAAGATGTGGCCTGTGATGTCTGCACTGGGAGGAAACTCAGAGCCTGTAAGTCCTGCCTCGTGTGTCTGGCCTCTTATTGTGACAAACACCTCAAGCCTCATTATGAATTACCTGTCTTTAAAAAACACAAGCTGGTGGAGCCCTCCAAGAAGCTCCAGGAGAACATCTGCTCTCGTCATGACGAGGTGAAGAAGATGTTCTGCCGCACTGATCAGCAGTGTATCTGTTATCTCTGCTCTGTGGACGAACACAAAGGCCACGACACGGTGTCAGCTTCAGCAGAGAGGACTGAGAGGCAGAGAGAGCTGGAGGGGAGTCGACTAAACATCCAGCAGAGAATCCAGGACGGAGAGAAGGAGGTGAAGCTGCTTCAGCAGGAGGTGGAGGCCGTCAATGGCTCTGCTGATAAAGCAGTGGAGGAGAGTGAGAAGACGTTCACTGAGCTGATCCGTCTCATGGAGAAAAGAAGCTCTGATGTGAAGCAGCAGCTCAGATCCCAGCAGAAGAGAGAAGTGAGTCGAGTCAGAGAGCTCCAGGAGAAGCTGGAGCAGGAGATGGCTGAGCTGAAGAGGAGAGACGCTGAGCTCAAGCTGCTGTCTCACACAGAGGATCACAACCAGTTTCTGCACAGCTACCCCTCACTGTCAGCCCTCAGTGAAGCTACACACTCCTCCAGCATCAACATCCGTCCTCTGCGCTACTTTGAGGACGTGACGGCGGCCCTGTCAGCAGTCAGAGACAAACTACAGGACGTCCTGAGAGAGGAATGGACCAACGTCTCACCGACTGAAGTGGATGTTTTACCGTCAGCAGCAGAGCCCACCACCAGAGCTGGGTTCTTACAATATTCACAGGAGATCACTCTGGATCCAAACACAGCACACACACAGCTGTTATTATCTGAGGGGAGCAGAAAAGCAACACGCATGAAACAACAACAGTCTTATTCTAGTCACCCAGACAGATTCACTGGATGTTATCAGGTCCTGAGTAGAGAGAGTCTGACTGGACGTTGTTACTGGGAGGTGGAGCGGAGAGGGGGAGGAGTTCGTGTAGCAGTCGCATACAAGAATATCATCAGAGCAGGGAGGTGGGGGGAAAGTCTATTTGGAAACAATGACAAATCTTGGTCTTTAGATTGTGACCAAAACAGTTATTCATTTCGTTACAACAATATCAAAACTCCCATCTCATGTCCTCTGTCCTCCAGAGTTGGAGTGTACCTGGATCACAGAGCAGGTATTCTGTCCTTCTACAGCGTCTCTGAAACCATGACTCTCCTCCACAGAGTCCAGACCACATTCACTCAGCCGCTACATGCTGGAGTTTGGCTTTATTATGTTGGAGACACAGCTGAGTTGTGTAAACTGAAATAGCCTGAAGTCATTTGAGGAACTCTTCTACTTCTTAAACTCATTGAGTCCATCATTGTTGCTGAGAGCTGATTGTTCATGTCTTCACTGCACAGAGATCAGCTGTCAATCAAACATGATGGGATGTGCTTTAACATCTTCTCATGAGTTGTTCTGTATGTTGGAGTTTCTTCAGGCGGTGCTCCTTCCGGTGTCTGTGTAGCCATGGAGGCTGTCACTGCTCAGGAGGATTTCTGTTCACCTCAACTCATATTTCTCTGCATGAAAATGTAAAGTTTGCTCTAAATATGTATTGAATATTTCCATTGATGCATTTATATTGAGTTCTTTCTCTTTGAATGCCTGAGTCTTAAGAGAGAAAGCAGCAGAGCTTCTTTCATTATAGATATTTTATTCTCACTGCTCTGGAAAAAAGAAGATACATTTATAATGACGTGTATTTTCACAGACTAAATGTTATTGTTGTTTCCAAAATCGACTAACAAATAAGATACTTTGATGTTAATAAAATGTGTTTGATCAGAAAATGTCCAGTTCAGTTTTTTTCAGTTGCTAACACACACATCTCACATAAAGCATAATCATTTAAACTCTCACTCAAAGAGCAAAACCTCAGCTCAAATCTCCAAAACTCTAAACACACTTTCAGCTCTGCACCCAGTTTGCAGTTCAACT